CTAGGAGATATGTCAGTAGCCCCCAACATGTGTTCTAATGTTCGTGTTCTACTGAGGCGTGTGTTCTCTGTTTGTTAGCCGTTTAGCTAGCTAAGCAAGGATACACGGGAGATGTCCTGTAGCCTAGCCTTGGTCAAAAATTATCCAGAATACACCGCAGTATTTTCAAAAGGATGGTAGATCAGAAGCCGGCAGCTGCTTCGGGGACAAATTTCAAGTTTAAATTGAAATTTCAAATGTTTTTTTTTAGATCCAAAGAAGTTATCTATGGTTGGTTAGTTGCTTAGTAGTTGCAGCTTCGGTGGCTAGCGGGTAGTAACTCACTTATATATTTAATTTAACAAATATATAAAAAGTAAAAGGCTAATTATAAATGTATGTTGAAACTAATACGTATAAAATATAACGTTATCTCCCACGTCACGTGACATTACGTGACCACAGTGGAAGCCGCGGTCACGTGATGCAAGTCTGTTCCATTGAACTGTTTTCTTTGACCAAGGAAGGACAGTGTCCTTGTAAGCAAGGCCCCTGGCCTCGCAAGACATCGCCTCGCAAGGCCAGGCGCCTTGACATTGAGAAACACCCCACAAAACTGCAGTGCTATTTCTGATTAGCAGGGGGCAACAAATTGCAGTCCAATTTGAAGTTGCTCAAGTTTCCAGCTCAAGAACCACTGAAAACAGTTTTAAAGCAATAACTTCAAGTGTTAAAAAACTTTAGTGTTACCCTAAATGGGAGATATCTGATTTGAGCCAGTATCACTGGGCTTCAACTTGTTGGATGAACAAAAATTGCAAGTAAATATTTCTATTTACTCTTAAAATGAGACTGAATTCATGTGTATGAGATTTTGAGAGATGTGTTCTTATTTGTTGAGTCCCTTAGGACAACTTAACTGCAATCAACTGTTCTAGAAAAAAATTTGATGCCATTTATTCAAAACTTTTGATTAAAACATAACATTTTTCTGCAAAGTTGTCTCATATTTCTCACAGTTAGACTCAAGGAAACTAAATAGAGAAAGGTCCCGACTGCCTGCAGCAACTATACAACTCTTAAAAGATTATTGGTCATACATGATTGTTTTCAATATGTGCAAAATTTTACTGACACAAGAGAGAGGCTTTGCAGCTTAAAAAAAGTAAGGTCATTTAGAGATTGTTGTTGTATCTGAGATTAAAACTCTTGCACTTTCTGAGAAACGCTGACTGGTGCATGAATGGTCTGGTTTGTGGAGAGCGATTATTAAAGTGTCTGACCATTTGCAGCTATAAATTGATAGAGAACTAGAGTAAAACAAAACAAAACGGTAGAAAAACAACTCAGTCGATGAGTTTCTCCGCTTTTTTCTTTGCTGTAGCCTTGACGCGAGGAAATAACAAATGTTTTGTATTTTTAAAGCTTCTTTATTTTTTTTATCTTGCACAAGAAATTCTGTAATTATTTTCAAACTAAAACTTAATAAACTATGCTTATTAAGTGTGACAGGAAACCGTTTTAAGTGTGTTCAGTAGAACATTTTATGTGGCAGAGTTAGATCAACTTGCTCTCTTGTGCATCTTATTCAAGTCCAGCTACGTTGTTCACATCAATTTAATTAAAAGGCAGAGCCACCAGCAACAAATTCGGCATAAAAATAACCGAGCCCTTCTTCTCCCTCACGTGTGATGTGAGGAAATATTGTGTGTGTGTGTGTGTGTGTGTGTGTGTGTGTGTGTGTGTGTGTGTGTGTGTGTGTGTGTGTGTGTGTGTGTGTGTGTGTGTGTGTGTGTTAGGTCACTATGGTAACTAAAAACTTTGGCTCCAAATTGTGGCATGCACCTTTGTAGACGCCATTCAAGCTGTTTTCATTCGTGGTGGTGTGCCAGATCAAACACAGATATTGTGGGTTTTTTTATGTAAATGAAATGACGAAACCAAGCAACACTGCATGAATGGAAGCTACACTCTTAACATGGTTTTTACAGTTTCCTGTTGCAGTATGCTGGATGAGCAGCGGTCAGGTTGGAAGTTCTGAAAGAGTGAAGTTGTAAAAAAACAAGGAACATCCGTCTGTTGCTTTGCATCTGACAGATAGCATCACCCCTGAATGCAGAGCACAAAAGTCACTTCTGGTTTATTTAATCTCCTGTGAGTTTCTTTGTGCTTTATGCTTCAGTTAGTTCCGTTTAATTGGTTGAGTTGCTCAATATTATTTCCTGGAAATATATCTACAAGTATACTTCCATGTTTGTAGCCGGCATAATGTGTTTGCAATTGTGCTGTTTGTTTTAACAACACATCTATGATGTTATATTTATGGGTAAAGGGATGTAAAAAAAAAAATTCTAATTTTAATTTAGTTTAAAAGAGACAAACTTCCTGACTTTTCTCAAACTCAAGTCACTTTATTTACCTGCCTTTGATTGAGATTTTTATCCTTTGTTTTAGCTCCTTGTAATGGTTGTGTTTTGTTTTAGCCTGTGTAGCACTTTGGGCAGCTCCCATGCTGCATTTTAAACGTGCTATATAAATAAACTATGCTATGCTATGCTACCTTAATAACTCATTATTTCATTTCTTCTTTCTCAGATTACTGTTGTCAATAATTCACCAGCCAGTGGTTGAAAAACCAGAACACCAGTTTAACTCCTTGTCTCTTAGAATTAATTTCCTGATCAATTTAGGATTTAACTTTAAACCTCCCTGATTGATTTCAAGGCTTTTAGTGGGACAGACTCAGCTTTTAAATCTCAAACCAGCTTCCAGGTCTCAGAGCTGCAAAACGCCTTCCGCTGCCAAGGATGAAACTAAACAGACTGTAGATCCAGTTGCTGTCATAAATTAGGCCTTCTCTTCAGACACAGTCTCATTCCCAGGTGTTTTTGTATTGGCATACTACTGATTTAATGTAAGAGTTGTGATTCTCTTATATTTAAAGCGTTAGCCACACTAGTGGTTTAAGCTGGTATGTTTTCCTTTATCTGTAAAATAAAATGATGGAAATTGACCCAAATAAGAATAGTTTTAATGAAAAGAAATAACTTAGCTCATGCATTAAGATTGTTTTTGTCATTTGTATCCCTTTTAATTGGTATTGTGAAATCTGTACGGTGGCCTTCCTTTCCTTGCCTTTAAGGTGTTTCAGGGATGTGCATAAAAAGTTTTCACTACTTTGTATAGAACAGGTTTTCACTAGTGTACACAAAACATTTTCACTACTTTGTATAGAACAGGTTTTTACAAATGTGCATGAAACATTTTCACTATAGATTTTCACTAGTGTGCATGAAAGGTTTTCACTACTTTCTATCGAACAGGTTTTCACTAATGTGAATTAAAAGGTTTTCACAAGTTTGTATGTTAAATGCAGGGATGGACAATATATTGGCATCAATATTGGTATCAGCCGATGTTAGTCATTTTTAACATATTGGTATCGGTTTGATAAATAAAACCGGGCCGATATTAACAACCGATATTTTTTCCATCTCGTCTCCATTTGTTTGCCTGTTTCAGAGAGTGAGGGGGGTGATGTGTAATTGTAGTCATGTGACAGTGATTGTAATCATCTCAGAACAGTAAATGTGATGTGTGTGTACATAATGTTGTAAATTCAGCTTTAATAATTTTCATTCTATACAAAATCTGCTGATTCTAGAAGCATTAATATCAGTATATCGGTATCGGCAAATATCGGTTATCAGCCATAACAGTGAGCTTAATATCGTATATAGGTATCGGCACAAAAATTTCGTATCGGTGCATCACTAGTTAAATGTTTTCACTAGTGTGTATAAACGGTTTTCAATTGTGTGCATAAAATGTTTTACTAGTGAGCTGAAAAGGTTTTCACTAGTGTGCATAAACAATTGTCACTAGTTTGTATACAAAAGTTTTTTACTAGCGTGCATGAAATGTTTACTAGTGTGCATGAAAAATTTTCACTAGTGTGTGTAAAAGCTTTTCACTAATGTGTGTAAAAGCTTTTCACTAGCATATATAACAAGCTAGTGTGCATAAAAGGATATCAACAGTGTCTATACAAAATTTTCACTAGTGTGCATGAAAGGTTTACGAGCGGGAATGAAAGATTTTCACTAGTCTTTATGTAAGGTTTTCACTTCACACGGTCTGTGCAGTTTCAGTCTAGAGTAGAACAAAGAGACAGACATGACAAAAATCTTAAGTTCGAACTTTGGTTTAGTCACAACTGTTTGAAAAACAATGTATTTATGTGTATCGTGTGTTAGACGTGTGTAAGTGAACAAGATGCTTTAGCAGGTGCTAAGATGCTTTTTAGAGTCATGCAAGTTTCACACTCAAGATAAGCAGATGTTCATACTTCAACAACATATTTTTAAACAGTTCAACAAAATCCACCATTTTACCCAATCAGATTTAATGCATTTTTCAAAAAGCTTCAAAAGGGTCAAAACTAAGCCGTTCTCAGGCATTGTCCAATAAAACACAACTATACATAAAACCATCATCGATACAAAAGCTACACAGCATTCAGTAACTAACAACACTAATATTCACATGTGGAGATGTGAAAATTATACTTGAGCTGTAAAATTACACTCTGATTTCTGCAATTACTGTTGGTCAGACTGCATGTGTGATTGCACCAGTCGAGTCCTTTGCTGTCACGAAGCAGAAATGCTTTCCTGTCAGCATGTGCAATCTCATTCTCCTCTGTTTATTAAAGACAAGTAAAATAATAAAATCTGGCAGGTTATTTTCTCATTTTCCTCTGTGGGAGAGCAGGAGCAGCCTGTTGGCTCCATGTTCAAAGGAGCAGCTGCAGGTTGTTTTATTGCTTTGAGCTGCAGGCCTTGATTTAATACTGAAAAGATCAGAAATCAACTTGTTTCTGGTTTGGCTGATGTTTACAATGTCTACCCAAGCTGCTGCTTCAGTGAACTTAAGAGTTAGATTAAAGATGAAAAGCTCCTCCGAGCTCCTCTGAGGACTGGCTGGCGCTGCTGCACAAATGGCATTGTCTCTTTTTTCAGATCTGCACCCCAGACCTGGTGGTGTTCCTGGCCTGCACCAACCACCGTTTGAAGGAGAGGCTGCAGAAAAGAGCTGAGCAGCAGGGGCGCCCCGACGACAACCCAAAAGCCATTGATCGCCGCCTCACCAACTTCAAACAAAACACCATTCCTCTGGTCAAATACTTCCAGGAGAGGGGCCTTATTGTCACGGTGAGACAGAAAACATGCAAAACTCAGTTAAAGAAATACTTATTGTTAAGAACTTTCAGTATTTGGTGATTTGATGCCTGTAAAAATAGTTTAAATAATCTCGGGCAGAATGATGGAATTATAGATTTGGATGCTGAGAACATCTAAACATCAGCAACACAGGGCCTGGAGGAAGATGGACCTGCTACCCTATTTATAGGTTTCTGTCATCAGGTCTGATCTGGTCCACCTGAGGGAGATCAGACAAGACAACACCAGACAAGGACACCAGCAGGGGGACAACGTGTAATGAGCTCGACTCTAGAGAACTTATGAATGTTTCCCATCCTGTGGCTGAGGCACGGTTCGCAAATCAAAAAGTAAAATTCCCAGGTTGAGGCTCAGATACGCGCGTGTGCGTGTGTGTGCGTGTGTGTGTGTGTGTTTACCACATACTTCTGGGACAGATTTAGAGTAGAGGAGCATTGACTTGCTCTCAGGTTGTTGGAGCCGAGCTCTAATGGAAGATGATGGGTCCGACAGCTGGCCCACAGCTCTGGTGGGAGTCTTATTGATCCGTCTGAGTCTTCCTGGCAGCAGAGGGAGTGCTGAACAACAGCTCTGAGGGCGGAGGAAAACAAACAACTTTGTCTCTGTGCTTCTAGATTGTTGCTTCAGTGTTGCTTCAGGGTTTTTCCTTCATGTTTAGACTAACTCTGAGCCAGATTTGATACTGAACAACAACAGAATATTATTTCATATTACAAAGATTAATCTGAAACTGTCACGTTGCGAGCCAGGAGGTTAGGACCCAAGATGCAGAAACCCAGAACGACACAAGGCAGGAGTGAAATCAAAGTAAAGTCCTTTATTTAGGAAGAGAGTCCAAAATCCAAAAATCCAAAAAGGGCAGGAAGCCAAGTCTAAAGTCAGTAACCCGACTGACAAAAACAAAAAGCTCTTTGATGAGCAAAACCTAGAGTTTTCACGAGGAGGAACATAACAACACTGACAACAACAATGGACCGACTGGGTTTTATACACAGGGGCTGGGTGATTAGGAAACGAGCAGCAGGTGCGTGGGGAGAGAGAACCAGAGGAGAGCCTGATGAAATCCATCCCTCCATCCATTGTCTGAACCCGCTTTGTCCACGTAGGGACGCGGGGCTGGTGCCCATCTCCAGCAGTCAATGGGCAATCAGGCAGGGTACACCCTGGACAGAGAGCCATCCCAGTGCAGGGCAACACAGAAACACACAGGACAAACAATCATGCACACACACACTCACACCTAAGGACAACTTAGACAGACCAATCAACCTAACACTCATGTTTTTGGACTGTGGGAGGAAGCCGGAGTACCCGGAGAGAACCCACGCATGCACAGGGAGAACATGCAAACTCCATGCAGAAAGATCCCAGGATGGGAAGCGAACCCAGGACCTTCTTGCTGCAAGGCAACAGCTCTAACCACTGCGCCACTGCTCAGTCTCCTGATGAAATCAATAAACCAAATGGGAAGGGAAAACTAAGCAGAGGAGGGGAATAAGCCATAACCTATGAGACTACGTAAATAAACCTAAAAGACTCAGGGCACAAGAGAACCAAAATATAAATAACTAAAGATCTGAGGAGTGAGGGAGAAATAAACAAGTGGAGATGGAAATCACACACACTAAAGGAGACTAATGAAAACTTGAACCTATAGAAAACTACGGGGAGTGACTAGAATGGAACCTAAGGGGAAAACCTGGAGTGGGCTGGGGGAACACAAGGAGGCACCTGAGGGGGACGCAGACAAGGAGACACAGGAGGAACACAAGAGGACACATGAGGGTGAACAGGAGGGGGATGGGGACCAAAGGGACTCAAACAGCTTTGCAGAAGGCCTCTCCCCTCCCTTTTCTCTTGCTTCTCTTGAATCTTATTTCAGTTCCCCGTTCCTTCCTGCTGTACTTCCATTGTTGCATCCTGCAGTTTTATGAACTCCTTCAGTTTGTCAGAAATGTGTTTGATGGGCTTTGCTTTGTTTCAGACTTACATAACTTGCATTCCTCTGGACTCAGCAAAGGAAAGCAGAGTTTGTAACCATGAAAACTCAAACAGCTTCTTGTAAGTCCAGCTATGTGCGAGTTACGCTGCTCTGGAGCAGTTTGTGATGAAATCTGAGATCCAGGCGTGTCTTTTCTATCCTCATGTGATGACTTTTTTCTTTTGCTTTTTTGAAGGATTCATAATCTCCATAATAAACATAGCTCCTGGCACCGGCTTAAACATGATTCTGTTATTCTGTTGATGTCTCGGTGCCTAAAACATCAGAGAAATGTCATCTAATAACCAAAGACAACATCTCCAGTGGTCTATAATGTGTTTAAAGGTGCAGCATGTAAGAATATAGTAAGAATTTTATAGTGAGAAAATCCCAAAAGACTTTAATGTTTCAGTCATTTTGGAAGGAAGGTTATACTCAAACGCACAAGTGATTCAACCACTGAATCTAGTGTATTGGAACAGAGAAACCACTCGAGGCCCAGAATTGAATAGCCCTGTTTAAGTGGTTTCCCCGCTTTAACACAGTTGATTCACCTGTGAAGTAGCTCATCAGACTATGCAGCAGCCAGTTAATCACTTGCTGATTAAAATCAGGTGTGTTGAAGCAGGAAAACCTCCAAAACGTGCTGGATAGCGGCTCTCTAGAACAGGGTTCCCTACCCCTGCTTTAATGTCTACAGCCGGAGGGGGGGAGTAGAAACACCTGGACTGTAAATAATTTCATCTCCTTTTCTACCTGTGAACAGCAGGGCTGTGGTCCCAATCGGTGATTTTCTGTTGCCATTTCCTCGTTCCGTCGTTCTCAGCTGGTGTCGGGCAGAAACGCAGCATCTCTCCTCCCTGCAATCACAAACATGTTTAACACACTGAATCAAAGCTCTTGAAGGCCACACCTGAAGCTGCACAGATTTAAGCTACGTCTCCATTATGGTTTATTTTGCTTGGATTGTGCATCCCTTAGCTCCTAAGTTGCATCTTTATGATCATCTACAACCTGCAGCTTTTTCATTGTTGGTAATATTGGATTTCTGCTCCATGTTCAGCTGTTCTGCTCCAGAGTTTCTGTTTTGTTCTGTTTTCAACCACAGCAGGCAGTTGTTTTCAAAAAACCGAGACCCAGATGGAGTCGATAGACACAGTCGGAGATGAACTGGTGACCATCTGAAGTGACAGAAGCTGAAAAGGGTGAATTTCAGACTTAAATTCCCCTGGTGAACACAAATATTAACCTGCTTTTTCAAGGGTCTTACTTTCAGTGAGATGTAAAGCTCAGTCGGTGTGTTTTGTGTTTATTTAGGATGGATATTTGTTTGAAAAGTACGTGGGTGATTGTGGTTCTAATCCAAATAATAGCTTCAGTAGGAGGTGAGAAGGGGGGAAATGGGTCACCCAAGGGCTGGAATATGAAGTCAGACTTCCTGCTTAGATGATCAGATTGAGTTGAAAGCCAGTTTTCAAAGTATGTGAGATCGCCATGGTAACGCAGTTGGGATTTTTAGGGTTAGGTTTTTTTAGGGTTATTTATATGTTCAATCAGTAATAATAAGCCGAAAAAGCATCAAATGACGTGTCAATTCTGACCTAGTATGTGAATACATCTTGAGCCTAAAGATGAAATCATGTTTAAAATTTTATTTTCGTCCTTTAAGTAACAACAGATCGTTTTTTTTTTACTTAAAAATAGAGCTTTAACATTGATCTCAGTGCTTGTTAAGTTTGAAACTTGATAGTTTTGTAGGTGTCCTAGGGGTCCTAGCCTGCTTTACGGTTGTTAGCTGTAATGCTAGTGGTTAGCATTTTCAGTTTGCCGATCGTTAATTAAAAGCACAAGTGAAAGAAAAAGAAGTTCGCTTTTTCTGTTGGTATCATGGCGGAGCCTGGAAGTTAAAGTAAGAGAGTAATGTCGTTGGAGGTGAAGCACAGAACTAAAGCCAGACTGACCTACAGTAGTTGGAGGGAGCTAAATGAGGCTACAAAATCACGGACTGATAGTGACCTGGCGTTGTTGTTACTGGACTTGTAAGTAATAATATTTTTGTCCAACCGAGTGGATCATTTTACTTTGTGGTTTATTTTAGTATTAGTTGGCTCATGTTAGTGTTAGCTTGTTGTTAGCGCTAGCTACAGCAGGCTGCAGCAGGACTGTTTATAATTCCAATTTCAACCAGTAGGACAGAGGATCAGGAAACTGCTCTGTGTTACTTTAAAGTGATGATTCACACCTGTGACTTGTCATCCTTCCAGAACATGTTTTGTTTTAGCTAAACTGAAACGCTACCGGCTAGTCAGCCTTCACTAATGCATCCTAAAGGTTTATAAGCAGTTCAGGAGAACCGCTTCCAGTTTTGCAATAAAATATTCAGAGTCAATTTTAAGTGCAATTAGCATAAATAGCATCGCTAGCTGTAGCACTTTCTAGTGCAGCATTTGACAACTCAAAATGGAATTTTAATTAAATTAATTTAATTTAATTATTTTAAGAAATGTGTAATAGGAAACTTTTGTAGATTGGTGTTACAGACAGCAGTAATCCACTCTGGCTAGCAGTTAGCCTATCGATCTGATTAGATTTAAACCCTGTTTCTCCAAACTGAGGCTGTTCAAATAGGGCTCTATTAACTTTTTGTCAAGGATTACAGTAATCATGTATAAAACTAAGCTCATGTTTACTCCTTTCTCCAAATGATGCTAAATATTTGGGAAAACACTCATGTTTTGATTCTAAAACTAAATGTTTGTAGGTTTGACGCTTTTAAATTAAGGAAGGTTTATGTTTTAGTTTTTGTTTGCTTATTCATTCTTCTGTTTCAGAAAAAGCAGATTTGCATGAAATTTCACCAGAATTGAGACTCTTCAGTTGTTGTTGATTTTTCCACCAGTTTATGAATAAAATGTTTTATTAAACATTTATAAAAATGTGACAGGAGATTATTTTGGTCATGCAAATGGTACCACGTGGGTTGTGTATAAAGACAATAAAGCAGATTTTATTCTAATTGGATTTATTTTTTCTGTGTTATAGGAAATTATCTCAGGTCTTAATTCACCTGAGGCTTAATTACATTAGTTTTAGTGTCAAAATCACCTGTTCATTTAAATGTCACCTTTAATGTGTAAAGGCTCAACTCTGCTGATGAACAATGTAGACATAATTTCCCTGTCAGTGCACACTTCTACAAGTCTATTAAGTCCTAGGCTTTTCCGTTAACGCTGCTCGCTCTAATGCTCTCCCCTTTGGGTCTCAGACGCACTCAGGCCCAGCAAAAATTTCCATCTCAAATAATATTTTTTGTCAATGAATTACTTTTTTTTTTTTTTTACGTAGGATGAGTCACCTCGGCACATCTCCCCATTTGAGCAGCCAGCGGAAATTGCAGCGAGGGGAGATAATTGTTTGTTGAGGCCACAGCTGAAGCCGTCCTGTCATTGGAGGAAAACTGGTCGAGTTAATTATTCCCTGAGTGAATTCAGCTCCTCTCCCCCCACATGCTGTTAGATGCCTCATAGATAGAAACAAAACTGTCTGCAGGTTTATTTATAGCTTCATTATGAGGAACAAAACAATAACACTGACCCGAGTTTTCTCTAAAACTAAGCAGAAAATATTCAATTTCGATCCATTCATAGCATCTTTCCGTGACATTTCTATCTAACATATTTCTTTGTGACAGCTTTTATGTAACCTCCTTTAATGTATTTTTAAACTTTTCACAAACTCTCCTTGGATTTGTTCTGGTGATCAAACAGATTGCAACAAAAGCACAAAAACAGCCGCTGAGCCCAGAAGGAGCTGCTGCTCAGTGATTTAAGGCTCTGAATCATCTGTTGGGTTAAATCTGCCTCTCAGATCTCTGAGATTATGGATGAGAAATTGTACTTCACACCTTGCAGACTTACATAACAGCATGTCCTGGTTTAACATTGGTCCTCTTCGTGGGTCTTTTGTTGCAGCGTTGACTCCTGAATGTGAAACAAGATTTAATTAGCATTCAATAGATTCTTCTAAACACACGTCCACTTAGCGCCTTATTAGCACCAGTTTAAGTTTTACTTAGTTATGTGTGTCTATATGCAATCTGAATTATTTACTTATCATTTTCACCAGCTGTCCCTCATTAAACAGTAAATTTCCTCCAACAGACGCACTAAAATCTCTCCAGGGGCATTGGGAAAAGCACGTCTGAACTGTAGTTAAACAGCCAATTACATTTGGTTGCTAGGGAGAACTGGAGAACTTCTGCCTGTCACTAAACCTATTGTCTCTGGGGTGCTGGCTGATAGCGCCCCTGCTACAGGAAATATCTAACTAGCATGCTAGAAGGTGCTGGATCTCCTTTCCTTTCTCTCTCACTCCCTCATTCACTCACTGCTGATTTATATAGATGGAGCTGAAATCATAGCTATAGCTGTTGCAGTTAAATGTGAATATTTTTCTGATTTTAATGTGATTTTAATGTAGCAGGCTTCAAAGCAGGCTTTCTAATTCAGTTTTTATGCTGTTAGTTTCAGGGTATTGCACTTTTTAGGTGCACATGCTTTCAGCAGATGATTGACTCACAGACTGTTGGAGACTGAAAACTCAAGCTGGAATACAAAACAAGGACAAAATCAAATAAAATGAGGCTAAGGACAAAAATTGAACAGTTGCTCTTAAAGATGTACACAGTAGGCTTGTGTATTTGAGTACTATTATAATGGAAATTTGAGGATTGACTTAATCTGTAAAACTTTATTTGGAGAAGGGAACTGGTGTAACACCTCACAGGCCTGACTCCAAGCCCTCTCTGGTTATGTGATGATATACGAGTGCACATGCTGGCAATAGCAGGGTTAAAGAAGGGACTTTTGCTGCAAAAAAATAAGTTTAGTCACAAACTTTAAAGTGATTAATGCTCGCATTAGAGATCTTTTTGCATTTTGTTTTTGGTTTCCAGATGTGGCAAATGTTCTCAGGATAAAAAGAAAGTTTCGAATTTGATTCTACCCTTCTCAGTAAAGTTTTAACCGAACCGGACTATGCTTCTCTCAAACTTCTACACACCCGTGTAATTGACATGATGGCTGCTAACGACTTGAATGGTTTATTTATAAACCCTGGATGAATGAATTAGAAAAACCAGGCTGCTTGAACACACACAAGTCTCTGAATCTGGTTATTTGAGTTGGGATTATTTAGCATCGTTGTGTTCCCTCAGTTAATTCCAGAAATGTTCCTGAAGCTGTGCAGTGGTTTTAGTACAAAAATCACATCTATTTTTAGCTCGTGTGCAAACAGCTTTCAGCCACGCTGTGTGTGCACAGAGATTTCTCTATATCTCATGTTTCTGTGATGATGCAATTCACAGATTTTTCTATTTCTCCTGCTGAATTCAAATGTCACTTTGAAACAGATCTTTTTCTGCTCATGGGGTAATGCATATATCTGCATTTTAATTATTTTGTGCCCAGTTACTTGATTCTTTGATGTGTGAATCTTTCATAGAGGTCATGTCCAAGGACATGCAAATCTGAAGAAGAAACACTGAACAGAAACAAAATTAAAATCAGCCTCTGTCCCTTCAAGTCCACAAGGGACACATTCTCAAAATGATCTCTGAGGTAGATTATAACTGACTGAATAATTCCCAGGGATTGTTTTACCGATATTATTTTAAACTTACAATGCAGTATTAAAGTAACATGTAAATCATATTGTATCATGTTTAATATCCTCCTGAGACATTATCTATTTTGATTTAACTTGTTTTTCATTCTTTCAGTTCTCTAGGACCTCAGAGACATTGCAAAAAGATATTTTTTATATTTAGTTCAAATTTTTAAGAAAAAAAGAAAGTTTCCTTAAAATAAACCAAATTTAAATTTAGTCCCCCTAAATAAAGCAGGCTTAGTGCTTTCCCCAAAAACTCACTGCATCTGACTCTCGTGCCTTCTGGTGGAGAATATGTGTATTGCACGTAGCATATTTTATATAATTACACACAGTCAAACAAAATGTTATCATTGAGCAATATTTTCATATTCCCTAATCAGATTATTAGTGTCAGACATGAAAGGGTAATAAAATTGTTTGTTTTACTTGTGTTTCTGTCACTTTTAGTTCTGCTAGTAGGAATTAAATTAGACCTTATTTTAGTATTAGCACACACAAGTAAAGAGCTTTCATCTTTACTTGTGTTTGAGTCTATGGACCATCTTGTAAAGATGAACAGATTTTATTTTCTACATCTGAGCTGGTGTCTGAATACACCTGGGTGGTGAGGAAACGGCAGCGCTGAGGTGTTTTTCTGACTAACGCTCACCAGGGAGTGCTCAGTCTGATCCTCGCGGTTCCTCTTCTGCAGGTAGAAACTCAGGGGAGTCTCCCACGCAGCACACATTAGACACAGGCTGTCTTTTTTTTAGGCTGTTACCATGGCTACCCCAAGAGGAAGCTGGCAGTTGGTTATGAACTCTCCTTGTTATCCGTTACTCCTGACCTCCACTCCCACAGTTAACATCCCCTAACTGCTTAATGTAGTTGTGAATAACCCTGCAGAGAGTCTCACCCCTGAAGACGTTTCCTCAGCCACAAGTTGTCTGTGGTCAGAGGTTTTAATCAGTAGTTTTTGTCAATCCCATCAAGGGATTAAAACTTGGGGTGTGCCCTGAATACAAAGTGACTCAAGTGTCCATCTGAGAGTTCGTAACACTGGGACAAAATTTAAAAAAGTTTGTTAGACTGAAACTCAAGCTTGTTTTTGTCGTTTATTTAGTTGGACGCCGATCGAGATGAAGAGGAGGTTTTCTGTGACATCAGCATGACTTTGGACAACAAGCTCTTTGACCCTAAAGAACCTGCAGCCGGTAAGATCTGCTTTTGTTTTACAGAAACAATGACTGAAACAAACAATAAACAATACATAGCTTGTTTGCATTTTATCCTACATCAAAATGTTGTTTTAGTTTATTTAATTACATTTTAATGACCAATAACTACTTTTGGGTGTAAAGTACAAACTGGCAAATATTGCTGGCTTGCAGGATTTTGCAGCTTTTAGTGCTTTGGTACAGACCGGACCACATTGGGTCAACAGCCCACCGGGACATGCCCGATATGCCAGGTGGCCAGTGCACCCCTGGTAGACGCGTAAAAGTAAAAAAAAATGCAACAAAACATAATATTAATAATATTAACTGCAAATGCTCAAAATATTTAGTTTTTAAACTGAATTGGCTGCTGTTAATAGCCTGGCAAGCCATTATAGATGGAAATATTTAGTCTGGCCATGACTCATAGACATAGCTCAGTCATGGAGTGGAATCTACGGTTGTCTTTCAAACCAAATACAAAAAACCAATGTGACAAACTCACCACTACAAATCTCAATCAACGGGGCAGTCCACCATATTCTGTCAAAAAAGATGCCTATACATCCTTTTTTTCTAAATAAAGAACTTGAGTACCTCTATCTGCCCTTGACTCAAAGCTATTTCAAGCAAGCCGCCATCTTTGTTTTTTCATTTTGTCTTATTATCTCGCCCGTCAAACTGATAGCGCTCTGTGAGCTTCAAGTCAGAAACCTGGACAGGCCGGCTGAGGTTCCAACAGATCGTGGCTAGACCAACAGGCAGAGCAAAATCCTTTTGCTTCTGCTACTGTCCACCTAGATTGCTATGCTATAATGTTAATGTATTATAACAGCATAATAATCTGTAATTATTTAATATGATTACATTACAGTATAACATTAAAGAAGAAATAAAATTGACCCTCAATGCCTGTAGATCATCCAACAGAGGGCAGTAGACATGTATAGGACTGGGTAAGGTAGGTTTATGAAGACTGTATTAATCCTAATCACAGATCAGTTTGAGCCAGAAACTACACATGAACACATTTCAAACACAAACATTCCTCAGTCAGACAGGAAATCTTGAAGGTAAAACATTACTTCAGAATGAACAAACATGGTGGAAAAGGCATGCAAAGCGTGCTTGAGTCACCTTTCTTTCTGAGTTTGAACATTTCACACTCAGCAGGCCGCACGCTCCTTATCGGACCGAGACAATCCAACATGTATGATCTCTGAATTGTGTGTACTGAAACTCTAATTTCCCTCTGGGATTGATAAAGTACCTTTGAGTTTGAATTTGAATTTGAATGTTGAATATTTCTGGGCAGACTAGAGCACTCATAAACCACACAGGTAGTCACAGAGCTGAGTTAGCGAGTAGGTGTGTCAGTCTGGTTCTGTGATGTTTGTAAGTGGAAGGCTTGACTGGTACGTTTGTGAACAACAAGTGTTCTTGGGAATCCAGGCTACATCCACCTGAACACAGACCAAAACATCACCAGTTGTCTTGGCAACGGAAAGTTAACTGCTCTTTGTGAGAGATCCAGATTCAATAAGGTTATACTGTCGTGTCCTGTCTGATCCAGAATGAAAGCATCTGATGTCGGTTTTAAAGACCTGGGGCCTCATTTATCAAGCTTGCTTATGCACAAAACTGGGTCAGAAAACTGCGAAAGCAACTTTCCACGCAAACTTTGGGACTAATGAAAGAAAACTTAGCGAAAAAAATGTGTGTAACTTTAAGTAGACTGAGGACCTTGCTTACACACATGTTGGACATGGAGAGCACCTGCAGTGCTGCTGCTGAGAAGGATAAATTTATGAAATCCTGCAGCATTATCACTTGTACTGCTTCGTTTTCACACAGAACAAGACCCCCACACGCACACACACATGTGCGCACACTCACACACTCACACACACACACACACACACACACACACCGCCTGAAGCGCAGTATCTGGAATGCAGAATATCAGCAGGGGGACAGATTGAGACAGAATGGCATGCGTGTGTGACAGTGTGTGTCCTGTCACTGTGACCCGATTGATCATGCGCCCTGGCTACTTGTACAAGGGAGATCTCTGTTTGGGTGACTGGTTAGCACGTGTGACTTTCACCTGGGAGTCTCGGGATAAAATCCTGATTGAGACATTTTTTTATATCCGCCACAGATGTCTCTGAAGAATTCACAACATTGACGGCTTCAGCAACGCTGTGCCACTCTGTGGATTTTCTCTTATTTGTTTTGCAAAAGCACTTCTTTTCATTTCTCCACCTCACCCACAGGCACCTCAATTTCTGCTTCTGTGAAATTGTGCTTCCTTGATCTGCCTTGATCTACGGTCACCATGTCATTGGCGGAGCGCTGCAGCAGCCGGCTTATGTATATGCATGAGATCCACAAGGCCCTTTGCATTAATAATAATAATAATAATGCATTGAACTTATATAGCGCTTTTCTAGACACCCAAAGAAGCTTTCACACACTCTCACATTCACACACTGCTAGTGATGGTAAGCTACTTGTAGCCACAGCCGCCCTGGGGAGGTCTGACAGAGGCGAGGCTGCCATTTGGCGCCGTCAGCCCCTCTGACCACCACTAACATAGGCAAGTTGGGTGAAGTGTCTTGCCCAAGGACACAACAGCAGGATACCCCTGGCGGGAGCTGGAATCGAACCCATGACCCTCCGATCATGAGGCAACCTGCTCTACCACCTGAGCTACTACTGCCATTGACCATTTATGGCAGTAAGTGGGCGTGGTGAGGGCGGGATGTGACTAAAATGCAGCTGAGAAACATTCTCGTTAGTCTCCGATTTATGAAGCGGAGATTGAGTGCAGCTGTGTGACTTCCATGTTTGATAGATCACAAACCTGCTTGGCGTAAGTAAATCTTTTTTTCTGAGCTTAAGTATGGTTTTAGTAAGGATTCTACGCAATGTTTGATAAATGAGACCCCATATCAGGCTGATGGTGTTTCTGCTCTGATTTAATTAGAGATGAGTTTCATAACATCAAGATTTCAAAAGGATTAAATGTTACCTTTGGCAGCGAAACGATTATTTTATAACATCCTACCAAAACGGAGTAATACCACATGTTTTATTAGGACACCATTAGCATGTCTTTACCACATCATCCATCCTGTTTGCAATGTGTTCGAAAAACAGGAATGTTGCATAAAATACTTGAAACATGCAGGTTTGGAGACGTTTGTAATTTGGTTTTTAAATTCTTGAAGCAAAAATTAGTACTTTACTGGAGCTCTTTTCCATTTGCTCTCAGCTGAAGAGCTAGCTCAGAACATTAATAATGCATCACTTCTTAGGAAGCATTGACGGAAAGATTTATATTTATTTAGATTAATTTCAGCCTCTTCTGTACAACATAACATTCATTTCTCAAATGTTGATGCTGCATAAGATTGATGGTGAATTTTTCATTTTCCTGCTTTTAAAAATGTAGAAAAAAAGGCTGTGAAACGTCCAAATGTTCTCGGTGTCTGTTTTAAGAAAAAAGTTCAAGGTTCTCAGTCCTTCAGAGCATAAAGAGCACTGTATTTCTTTTTAGGAGATTTTTCTAGCTTGTGAACTTGAAGAGGGAAGGGTTGGATCTTCATATATTCAATTAAAAACAAATCTTTGAAATAAGTAAAACATCTTCAAAAATTCATAATATAAATAATAAAAAACCTTCATCTGAACCTAAAAGGGACTTAATTGTTGATTCAGCTCATTTGTATGATGGTATATCAAGACCACAGAAAGGAGATTAAAGTTAAAACATCAAGGAAAAAAGTTTATTCTTTCCCAGATTAAAAGTAAAAATGTCGAGATCCATCCATCCATCCATTTTCAGCTGCTTAAATCCAGGGTTGGGTCACGAGGGCACCAGCCTTAGCAGGGAGGCCCAGACTTCCTTCTCCCCAGTCCCTTGGGTCAGCTCCTCCCGGGGAATCCCATGGTGTTCCCTGGCCAGCTGATAGATATAGTACCTCAAACGTGTCCCGGGTCTTCCTTTAGATCTCCCGGTTGGAAGCTCATGGAAAATCTCACCAGGGAGGCATCTTAACTAGAGATGCCCAAGCTACCTCAGCTGGCTCGATGTGGAGGAGCAGCGAGTCTATTCTGACTTAAAAACGTATCAGAGGGCCTAGTACCCCATACTCTCAAAATACCCCTCCCAAAGGGTCCCCCGAAAGACGTGGTCGAACGCCTTCATACACAAAACACAGTAGAATGGTTGGGCAAACTCCCACGCACCCTCCAGGATCAAAGGGTATAGAGCTGATCCAGTGTTCCACGACCAGGATGAAAACCACATCGCTCATCCTGAATATGAGGTTCGACAATCTGTCAGACCCTCCTCTCCAGAGCAGTGTGAAGCAGAACCCCTGAAAAGACTTTACCAGGGAGGCTCAGGAGTGTGTTGCCCCTGTAGTTGGAACACATCCTGCGGTCCCCCTTTTTAAATAGGGGGACGGCCACCCTGGTCTGCATATCCAGTGGAACTGGCCCAGACATTGTTGGGCCACGTCAGCCAATACAGCCCTACAACATCCAGGAACTCTGGGCGAAACTCATCCGCCCCTGGAGATTGAAGAGCCCAACCCAAAGTCCCGGACTCTGCTTCCTCACTGGAAGACGTATCAGTGGGATTAAAGAGGTCTTTGAAGTACTCCATCCACTGATCCACTACGCCCTGAGTAGAGGTCAGCAGCACACTGTCCCCATTTAAAACAGCGTTGGTAGCATACTGCTTTCCCCTCCTGAGGCACCGGATGGTGGAACAGATTCTCCTTAAAGTCTTGATCTATGATGTCATCGAACTCACCCTACGCACGGGAATTTGCCTCCTCAACCATCCGAGCCGCATTCCGCTTGGCCTGTCTGTACCCATCAGCTGCCTCTGGAATCCCACAGGCCAAAAAGACCCAACAGGACTCTTTCTTTAGCTTGACGGCATCCCCAACCATCGGTGTCCACCAGCGGGTTCAAGGATTGCC